AAGCATGTAAAGGCAAAGTTTCAGCATATAATTAAGAGGTTGCATTGCAACATGGATGTTACGTACCCCCAATATTAGACAACAGAGGCGTTCCATATTTTCATTTTCCTATAATGCTAGCATGTAGACCTTGAATTTAGGTGAAATTTGTGTTAAATACCAAAGAATTAAATTACCATTTTAAAAATAAGACTTGTTTTTATGATAGTTAGAATATTGTATAAATATAATTGTCAACATATTTTTACTTTGTTGTCAATGTGTATAGAATCACCGCATTACCACATTCTTAAATCAATGTGATTCGGTCCCTGAAAGATGCATTTAAATATCAAATACATATGTATAGTACTGAGAAATTTTAACTGACCAAGAATGAGAAAGCAGAGTTATTTTAGAACTGTATATATAACAGATTAGATGCCCATACAATCTTTGAATGTTAAAGTTTTCGTTCTAATCAGAAAATTGTGAAGATCGTCAGACAGATTTTGAGTCGTATGGGGGATAAAGTATGTGTTACAATTTTAAATGATAGATTTATAAAAATCTGCAACAAAAAAGTTCAAGGCAATTAACTTACAGATACACTTATTTATAATGCAAGTATACTGATATATTTGATGTTAACACATATACTAGTGATAATCCCATTAGAAAAAATTGTCAATCCTACAAATATTACAACTGCTAGAAGGATACGTTGTTTTTTGAAAAAGTGCTTTGACACCAGAAAAGAAAATCAGCAATGAATACTTAGAAATATGTGAATATACTCTACATTATTTTGTTTACCTCACATTTGTCACTTTGTATATGCATGTATTAATCGTTTTAATTTGTTTTATGTTATTTTTGTTCATGACTGTATGCCGACATGGTAATCAAAAAAGTGAATTGAATTGAATATATTAGAAACCCTATCAAATAATCTTTTGTTGCTCGTATCTACAAGCTTCCGTATCAGAACAATTATCAGTCATTTATTACATTCAATTGTTGATAAATTGTCCAATAAGCGACGTCTTTTACTATTTATAATAAAGTTAACAAATAATTTACTTAGCTTTTAAGCCAATTCATGTTATATCTCAAGGCTTGCGGAAGCAAAAGGCTTCATTGGACCCCATGCAAGCACGAATCTCCCGAAGTATGGGTTGGGGATGGGGGCAACTGAGCAAAGTAAGTATTATTGATGGTAAAAAGGGTTGCATGTTGTCATGTTTAAATGTTAATGCCATTAACTAAAAGTGTTAGCAAAAAGTTTTTCTGCATTTGCCTTAGGTAAAACTTAGTTGAGCAAGCGTGCATAGATTTCAGTAAAACATCACTCTCAGTAATAAACGGTGGTTGGGGGTGGGGGAATCGTTCCCGTCTTGCGTAAATTGATAGATGTCAAATCAATACTAAGCAAATAAAAAAAAAACCCACACTTTTTTGGAAATATCGCTTTATTTTTATTTTACCGGATCTATGTTTATAAATGCTTACATTAGGATGAATATTCGCAAATTAGTATTTATGAAAAAAAAAACAACAATCTTTAACAAATTATTTCCTATGGTTTCTTTCTTGTTAAGATAAACGTATATAGATCTAATATTATTGCAACAACCCTTCCCCCTCCTTTTGACCTTAATAAATATGTTAAAGAATACAAGCTGCAGCAGATGTACATTTCCCCCTCTTTTTCTTTAAAAGATATTTTAATAAAAAAAAATTATACCCTTAAATTACTACCAATTCTTTTGATACCCTATCATCCCCAAAATTCCAATATTTTAAATAGACCAATCAGAATATTTATTGGTGAACAGCTTAAGTGCCGCGTCGTGACCTGAAATGCTCCCAGTGCGTAGTGTACCCCCTCACGTATAGCATTTTACTATAGTATCATTGTCCTGAAATTGTCACAATAAAAAAAGTGGGTCAGAGAGAAATTTCACGTATCCAGTTACATTTTAAATTTAACTGTGCGTGTATAGCCGATGTGTGGATTTTGGATTTTTATTCTTAGTTTGAAAAAGGTAGGTCCTCTCTCTCTCTCTCTCTCTCTCTCTCTCTCTCTCGTGAAGTTCATTTATAAATTCAATCACTTTTTTAATGTGTTGGGAAACAGTACTAAATCTATGACATATTTGTTCAATATTTATATTTCTCTTTTTAAAAAAAAAAAAAAAAAATTGCAAAAGGCTTCTCCTTCTTTACATTTTGAATTTAAATGTCTTTGAATTAAAAAGGAAATAATACTGAAATATGTCTTTTTAAAATTAGTACATGTTTATTTTGTTTTTTGTTCACAGTGTCCTAAAACCATAAAAGTTTTAACTATTACAATAAACATATAGTTTGATGTTTTGAATTAAATCAATACGGTGACTTAAATACGTACATAGGTTCCGAATAATTTTATTTACATATATTTATATGCACATATAATTTATTTAAACGTTAACCCTTTTAAATATCTACTTTCAATGCAGTTTACTTTATAAAAAATTTAAAGTAAATTACAGAGGCTTTCTTTATTTGTTTAAAAATAGCCTTCAGAAATTTGACATAAAGACAGGAAAAAAAAATCAGAGCAATTCTGGATCTCAGTATGAGTTCTTTTACTCAGTATGATTTCAGCTGACTCCATTGTAACGGAATGTCAGTTCAAACTTTTAAATATTTATGAAAAAGGTCTTTCTCCTGAGTCATTTTAGATGAGAATCACAAAAACCTATGACTATGCATACAAAAATTGTTCAAGAATGTTTATGTTTCAATCAGGGGTAATGTGGGTTAAATACCAAGCTTGAACTACAGTTTCATTTTAAGGTTTATATACCCTCTGATCATACATATAAAATGTTGGTTTAATTTGTATAATTTTCCAAAAGAAATGTATTTTATAAGTAAGTAAGTAAGAGTAAGTAATAATTCACTTTCAGTGTCACATGTCCATGTCTGTGAAATGTTGAAACAAGCTTCGAAACGTCATTCATGGTTCACCGTTCGACAAGATACAAATAACGGTGACTATTAATATACTGCTAAGAATTTCTCAGAAGAAAGGGTTTTATTGTTCTAAGCTGATTCATTTAGAGGGACGCCATTTTTTTTTTTAGATTTTCATAGATAAAAGGAATAATTTAAGCAAATTCATCTGATAAAGCGTTTTATCATATGTCTACCCTTTTATCAAGAAGATAAGATTCACTGAATTAATTTTTCACATTTTCACACATTGTATTCCAACTCATGTCAGCAAATAAGCAAGCAAATAAATACATTTTTTGTGATCATTGACATATCTGATCACAATAGCTGTTTTATTGGGGGGGGGGGGGGTTGCTATTAAGTCCCGTTTCAGTGTTTCTGAGAACATAGAAAAAAAGACAAGGGGCTTAGCCCCCCTTTTAAACAGCCAAGAAGAATTTGAGATAGGGCGGCTTAGCCCCGGGGTCCATATCGAACACTTTTCTTGATCGCTGGGGACCCCGTTGTACGAAAAACGCATGCGTACCTTCGCAATCTAATGGAGCCCCCTCTATTAAAAAATCCTGGATCCACGCCAAAGACAGCTGCACGATAATCACAATTATCAGTTATTTATTCACCTATATTTACCTTAAAAATAAATTTTATAAGCGAGGTGGTATGGTGGGGGTCTATAATTTAACATATATGATACGTGGAATACAATTATGATGAAAAGGAATACTCAATGAAAATGAAGTAGACCATGTAAAATATTTATTTCAGAGGTTGGAGAGAATACTAGAATAGGGTATTATCCGTGGAATCGCGCACAGTACTTGATATCGGGTATTGTTGAGCCCGCGAAATCGGGTTAAGCAGTGTAATATCACCTTCTGAAATTAAAAGAACTGCGATGACGCGCTTTGCCGAGTCTATATTTACCTAGAGATGAATATAATGCAAAGGTATCAGTAGTCGAGAAAGAATTTTTAAGTCTGGTTTCATGCACACACATAACGATTTGCATTTATATTTTAAGCTCTTCCATTTTGAGGAGTACTTTGTGTATGAACTTTTTTAAAGATCATATAAAATGAATATATGAGAAATACCCCCCCCCCCTTAAAAAATGAAACGTAAAAACTAGGACTGAGCATAAGGCAATGTTTAGGTCTTTCTTCATAACTTTATAGATTACGTTATTCTATCCAAACAATAAACAATGTCCGCATATACTCTTTCTATCAAAGCAAAAAGATCAGGCTTTCCTTCAGCCGATAATGAAATCTGATTTTTATTCAAATGTAAATGTGTGACTTTATTTCTTACAATACCCACTTTCCCATAAATCAAATCATTTATGCTAATTTGCTTTGCGAATTCGAATATCCTGATATAATTATAGCACCGATTATACATGTAGAATCTTTATTTCCAAATCAGTGTCCTTTTCAGATATCACAAATAGCTGGCATAATTATATATCAATAAGAAATCATCACTATCACCAAATTTATCTGTCATTTGACTTTTAGTGGGAAAGGGAATTAAGCCATACATATTACACGTGGTAAGTCGTTAAGAATTTAAGCCTGGGGAATATACTGGTGGTAAATGAACTCAAATAACATGCAGTGGTTTTTTTGGTAATGACATTGAAAAAAAAACAAAACAAAAAACAACGTTGTCGTGCCTTCCTCGATACCCCAAATGTGTTACTCGTGTCATTTTGAGTTCTTTATACAAACCTGTAAATAGGGTTCAATAAATACTCAAGACACTGAGGTACACAGAACACTAACTGACATTATGCGCCATTGCATTATATTTTTGTTGTTTTTACAGAAAGTTGCACGGGATACCCGATTTCGCGGATTCAACGATACCCTGATATCGGGGACTAGGCCTATAAGCGATTTCACGGATAAAACCCAATTTCGCGTATTCTCTCCAACCAGTTTAAAAGCCTCCCCCCTTTGCCTCATTAATAATAATGATAGTGTTGCATTACCATAGATACTATTTTACTATAGGTTAACTACGGTGGAATTGACCGATAAATAAAAGTGGGTCATGCGGAAATACGTTTCCATTTAAAGATGAAGGAAATAATCAACGTGTAAAGCTAAGGATTAGTTAAAAAGGTAAGATCTCTCTTTCTCTCTCTCTCTTATTCTATTTCCCTTACGATATTTCTACACGCGTATAAAGTAATGAAATGCCAGCAGCTTATCTAATCAATATGAATAATTGATTGAGGTTTTTCATTTTTTTCGTATATATACACTCAACTTATTTTCTTATTTGATTTTCCTTTTTAAAATATTTATTAAATATGTCCAGTACAGTTCTATATAAGCTTTGAGCTTCACGGCTCATCAGTGTAAGATAAATACCAACAGATATACAAGTGACTTAACAGGAGTATGTAATTATATGCAATACTTTTACTTAATTTGATTATCTTTTCTGGTTTCTCATTCTAACAAAGAACATGCAGTTTTTATCTAGGTTGTATATTTCTTACAGTATTATAGTTCACTTTATTAAAGAATTAAAACATTTATACACTGAAAGTTTTTTTTCCAGTAAAAAAGATTTGATATATATTTGCGGTAGATTTCGTAAACAGAACATATAAACGAAGAGAAGTTGACTTTAAATGGCTATAACAATTGGTGTTCAGCTTCGTGTGAATATATGGGCAAAAACAATTTTTATCCCTTTAAACCTGATCAGTACTCCTTTTAGGAATTTTATCTTTTTTTTTTTTTGGTATCATATCTCCATCTGTCTAACATATAGCATGTTGAAAATTTAAGATGTTATACTGGCTAGAGGTAAGTTTTGCAATTACCCTCATCCAATAAATTCAAATTTTACTGCATGAGAACAAGTTTTTATTTGAATAATTTTAAAATTGATTAAAAAGGAATCTGAAAAGGATGTCTTATAACCAGAATACTATCGCGGTTATGATCTAAAATAAAAGTATAAACTAGGTCAAAGTCCAAAAAATGTCAGTACGCTATTTGCATGCAGGTTTAAATTCAATTAAAATTGCTCCATCGTTTCCAAAAGGCGATAAAACAGGCCCCTGATCAAATATCACGATAACAGTTAAGACAGCTATGTGACTTTATCAATGTTTGTTTTGTTTACCTTTAATTTAGGGGAAAAGTCCGTGTTAAAATAAGATTTGAATTACAGACTCGGAGGTTTCAGTTCGTTAATCAGTATATAGCTAGCTGATAACCAGGGGATCACTTTTAGGTCGGAAACAGCTGCTAAGATTATTGGAAGCACGTGGTCTACATGAATTTTCTTTTTTTGTGTTATAAAAAAGAAAAATTATCAGGCCAGTAACACTTCCACGACGGGGAAGGGGGGGGGGGCTTAATTAGTTCAATAAATATGTATTTTTTAAGACCATATTATCCGGGGTAGGGAAGAATCGTTCCCCTTTCTTTGTGGATCGAAAAAAAATTATATATTGAAAATGTGTAAATGTTGACTCAGGGGAGTGCACGTGGTTCCTCCACTTTCGAAACAAATGGGGAAAAAAAAAAGAAACATTTTTGCGCTTGATGTTTTGTGCGTCTAGATGAATGAGACACTTTGACACAACTTCATTACAAATACAAGATTTAACAGTTATTTCCAATGAGCAAGGAAGCTTTATTTGACTGCATTCTTTGTTATCTTGAAATACTACAATATCAGTACTAGTTATCGATCGCCAATGTTAGCAGACACAAAAGAGCTTTGTGCACAAACACAAAAGATGTTCCGTCTTGAACAAGTGATACAAAGGGAAGGAGGACTATTCAAACAAATTAATTAAGGTAATTAGAGAATGTTGATGCTTCTCCAGCTTTGTGTCCTTTTAAAAGTAATTAACTGAATTCTGGGGAGTTTTATTTTGCTGTAAAAATCCGCTTTTTTGATAATTCTGCATGTATATAGCTTCACACTTTATAATCAATAACACTAGACCTAAGCTTTTAATCTTATAAGAAAAAAATTTATAATGTAGCACTGTGGAATATTTAGCATATGTAGTTAGAATACAATTTTGCTTCAGTCAGATCTTCTATATTTTTTCCAACGCAACTAGGAAGGGTAGAAAATTAACTAATCGACGCACCAACACTCTAAAAATAATTGATGGTATGAGCGAACTAAAATGGCCAGTTCTCCTCCCCTCCCCCATACCCGTCCCAAGTTCTATAATACGCTATCATATGTAATCATGGATAAGATATCTTATAATTATTATCCAAAGAAGAAATTAATTTGAATTAAATAACCATCCTTTGCAAAACTACGGAAGCCGGTTGGTGCCAGGTAGAAAAAATATTTCATCTGGCGGCCGCCAGATAACTTTCTGGCGGCCGCCAGATAAGTTTTATCTGTCGGCCGCCAGATAATTATTTGGCGGTCGCCAGATAAAATATTTTTCTACCTGGCACCTACCGGCTTCCGTACAAAACAACCTTAGTATAGACGGTATCATTACATTTTCAAATGCATGAACTCGAATTCGACTTAACTATGTTTTGAAGCACAGTAAAACAGGCTTATTGCGAACAAGCTTATAACGAATTGACGCTTACAGCGAAGTGATTTTCATTCCCCATGAATTTTATATACATTGGAAACCTAACAGATATAACGAATTACGTAAAATCATCTGTCCCTGGCAGTTATAAGCATGTTTCACTGTACTCTTGTCAATCTTGTTTAAACAGTGAATGTATTATTTCAAATGAAAATAAAATATTGGGTGTAAGCGATGAAAAGATAAAAATGTCCTAAAATAATTAAACCATACAAGAGTTGATATGAGTACCAAGTGTGTATATAGCAGCCACATATTTTAAGGTTAACGAACCCTCTGTTCACTCATATAAAATGTTGTTTTAACACTTATGCATTTCCAAAAGAAATGTACTTTGTAAGTATGATACAAATTATTATAGTATTAACTTGCGGGGCAAAATCAAACAAAAAAGACATTTTAACTAGTAGACAAATTTATAAAGGAATAGACATTTATCTTATTATTAAGAGTTATCTCTCTTATCAGAGTATCAATGAACCTTAAATCTGCTACCGGCTTTACGAAGATGATTCAAGAAAAATATACCTAACTAGTTGCTATATTATCAAATTTAAGGGAGTGGTACAAATCGCATAAAAATACGGAAGATGAAAAACTGCGATATTTCAATTAAAAGTTGATACTGTTTTTCTGCAAGAAATGCTATATACTGTTTATACAGATAAAACCAAACTTGAATTCTGGGTGTACTTTCTGTTTACATTGGGGAGAAATGATCGATATTTCTATATACATATATTAGTGCAGACAGAATTATTAGTGGGCTTCTCTATTGATTGTGTCACTTGTTATAACGGAAATAACGAAAAACCATGGAAACCCTCTTAATTTTAATCGCCTTAGCGTCATCAGCATGATACAAGGACAGTGAAGAAATAACAGCAAAATCAGGCTGAGGTGAGGTGCTTATTTTAGGAAGAACAAAGACAGACTTAAATAATATATGTTTCAATTTATGTTATCTTGTAATAAGTAATTAAATCCGCTCCTGCATTTGTATGATGAAGCACATGGATTTTCAACAGCAAGTGTGCGGTGTGTGAAAACGGAAGTAAGACTTCAGTTGACTTCCGGAATTTTATTAGAAGTACGTGTATATAGTATTTATTTCTAAATAAGTTTAAGGAAATAGAAAATTACTGAAAGGCTCAGCGACTTAAAGCTTAAAACAACGATGTTGAATATACAGTGGCTTTTATATTAGTATGCATTAAACTTTACATAAAACATAAAATGTAAATATAAAGGGATGATTAATTTCAATAGCAAGATGGATCTGCTGGGAGATCTGGATGGACTTCTTCACAATGTTTCAGGCCTTAGCCTTGGGATCATGCAACCTCTTAAGATTAAGTCAATATCTGTATTTTGTGCTAAAATGATGTAGAAATTAAGCAGTCAAAAATAGATATTATATCCATAATATAAATATTATTCCATTTTGCATTGCCGAAGTGCTGTTACCTGCAATGTTATAGGGGTTAGGATGAAAATCAATTAACATCTTATAGATAATTTAAATGTTGACTTTTACCAGATATAGGTGGTCTTATACAAATAAAAAAATCATAAATGCCATGAAATTATTCATTTTATTTTAACTTCGGAACAATAATGAAAATGGATCAAAATAGGAATTTAGTAACGTTAATATATCTGCCAATTTTTTTTTTCGTTTCTGAAGAATTGCCGATATTAAAAAAAACAAACAAATAAAAACATATTTCTAATTAAAAATGTTTATTTTCTTATTTTCCAATGAAAACCACTGACGTTTGTTTGGTGTTGAGGATGGGGATGGGAATTGAAGGAGCGACAAGATCAATTTTTTTTGTTAATTTCAAATAAGAACAGTACATTCGAATTTGTGTTTACAATGAGCCCTGGATTATCAAAAGTGTTGTAAATAATTTACTTCATTGTGAGATAACTTTTAATAAAATCAGCAATAGAAATTGATTTAGTTTTAGTTAACATCAAACAGGTTGAATGGGTCTGTTATGATATTGATTTTAGAGTGTGGATTACATTTCGTTGTCTAGCTACATATAAAACGGGGAGATAACCTATCATATCATATTTACGATTCTAAAGTCCAGTCAAATATCAAATGTCTTCTTTTTCTTATCGGGTTTGATGTCCTAACTAAAATAATCTTGTTTTCCTAAAACATTCTAACTATTACATGTAATTGAGATAAACCTGTCTATTTTCAAATTGCTATACAAAAATTAAGTGCATATGCTATTAAATTAATTTTAAAAAATAATCATGAAGTGTTTGTGAACTTATGATATTGTACCAATTTGTCAAAAAATAAATGAAAAACTGAACCCATTAACACATTTAGTTTTGTTATCATAATGTCATGAATTTTGTTCCAATTTTATGGTTGAATAAAATTAACAAGTAACTCATAAATAATGAATTTTTTAAAGCTAGTAGCTTCCCAGTAAATTTACACCCTATACAATATGACACCAACACACAAGATACTTTTATTTAGATAACATTTAGGCAATCAGGATATAGCATGCGTATGAAGGAACATGTAACTCAAACAGCAAAAAGTAACGCAATCTTCATTAAAAAAATGAATTTTCCTGCGGGAGAATCGTAATTCCATAACGAGAGAGAGAGAGAGAGAGAGAGAGAGAGAGAGTTTCCTTGCATATTGTAGATACACATGTAGTTACTCAAGACTTAAATTTGAAAACACGTGATTTTACTACAGGACATTCAATATGTTGACCCTCCCCCATTCGTCCGCCACTCAAATATCAGTAATCAGGCATCCGCCGCAGTAATCAGACATCCGCCTCTGTATTTCATTGTTTAGCAGGGATCACAGTCTTAAGTAGTATTTCCTCTTTTTGTAGCTGAAGTTTCCGTTAACTAGAAATAAAGGAAACTTCCTCAAGTTGACAGCAAAATGTGCAATACAATCACTCGCCAGTTAAAGAAAATTGTGTGTTCCGCCTGTGGAATAGTCAATATAATATACCTAACAACGACTATCTCAGTCATTGTGCTTATGCAGTTATTTTATGTAAACTATCAACTGAAATCAGTGGTACCGATTGCTAACAATGTGAAACAAGAACTGAAAGTTTTTATTTCTTTTCGGAGTTTAAGTCCTAGCACAAATCCGACACCCTTACCTACCACTTTCCGGAAGTTTATGTCCAAAATTCAGAGGCCAGTTACAAAGCGGCCCGATATGTGCCAAGGTTGTTTTGCGCATAATTATACATATATTCTTGACAATGAGGATATCTGCAGCACGGGGGACGGAAAGCAAGAAGTCAATATACTGGTTCTCATCTCTACAACTCATAAGAACACCGAAAGTAGGAAAGCTCTCCGAGAAACCTGGTTATCTCCCTCTTGGAAAAACACCGGTGACGTCAGATATGCCTTTCTACTAGGAATGGCGCCTGATAGTGCCACCCAGGTTGCTATAGAAACTGAGAGTGCCACTTATCAGGATATTATTCAAGAAGATTTTGTAGATAGTTATAACAATTTAACTTTAAAAACCATGATGGCTTTCAAATGGGCAAGTACTAAGTGTAAAAACGCTAAATACTTTATGAAGACAGATGATGATATGTACGTTAATTTAGAATCCTTAAAGAACACTTTAAGAAAAAATAGTTTTGTTCTCCAAAAATCTATAGGTGGATTTTGCAACCTTTCACGGGAACCAATCAGGACAAATACATCGAAATGGTATGCACCTTTTGAGATGTTCCCTCATAAGGAATATCCGCCATATTGTTCTGGAACGGGATACGTGACAAGTCTTGATGTTGTGCAGAAGGTTTATCAAGTTTCAAAAAATATTCCGTTCTTTTATCTAGAGGATGTTTACGTTTCTTTGTGTATGAAAAAACTCGGATTAAACATGACTCACTTACCCGGCTTTCACGCCGATCAGCAGAAACCCGGATGTGTGTACAAAACAAATGAATTAGTGACGTCACACAGATTAACACCAAAACTCCTTAAGGAGATATGGAATAAAAAGTGTAATGATGTTTGAAATGATTTTAATGTATTTCCATTTAATGTATAACATTTATTTTGTGATTTACTGAATGCACCTTTGCATGCAATACTCATTATGATGTCCGTCCGATAGTGTAATAAAATATATGATGTGCAATATAAATCGACAATCATCACCAAATCTTTATAAATATGTATATTAGCTGTAACATATCCCAGTATGTGTTCTGTTGAATTTGCATAATTATATAATTTATATAAAGGATAAAATCCTGAGTGATATAAGAGAGTTATTATTCTCGTTAAAAGATGAGAGGTATATGTTCTTCAAATGGTATTACCGATGATTCATAATTTCAGGGTAGCAACAGCACTGTGTGTTTTTTAAAAAAAAAGATTTGTACATTAAAATTATATCCATGAAGTACATTTAGAATATTTCTTAAAAATATTATTGACCCTAAATGAATTTCAAGTATTTCAAGACATACATATATAGACCACATACTTTTTTCTTCTATTTTTAACGTGCAATTATAAACCTCGCAAAAATCTGATAGTAAGTACTAATGATGTGTTAAAAGAAATAATTATGACAGACACTGATGTCACGAAGTGAGGCTCAGTTAAGGAAGCTCTATACACTTCACACTGAAGAGTTCCACTTCCATGGTACTTTTATGCAGAGTTATCTGCCCTTTGATTTGAAATTGAATAAACTGAAATATGCTTTGTAATACATAATTTATAATCTCTTAAGGAAGCTCTATACACTTCACACTGAAGTGTTCCAATTCCATGGTACTTTAATGCAGTTAGAGTTATCTGCCCTTTGACTTGAAACTGAATAAACTGAAATATACATTGTAATACATAATTTATAATCAATTTAAGCATTCTTAGTATTACATTACATTACATTACATTAAATAGACCAAGATGAAGTCATTTAATGCATTATTTGCATGTCTTTTTCCCATTTAAGCAAGTAACAGTGATTTCTGTTACTACGTTTCAGAAAAAAAATGTAAGTCCTATGTTGAAAATGAACAAGATCACCTCAATATTATATCCATTAAATGTTACATTTTTCTCTAACTCAAAAAATATTTATCATTAACGTAAAGAGGGATCATTTTAAAAATCTATTTCAGGAATAACTATCTTCTCTTTTGATATATTTGCGACCTTTAATGCTGATTTAAAAGTTGCATAGAGTTTTACCGGCGACACGTCAACGGCGCCGTAAAACGGATGTTTGCATTCGTTAAATCAATATTACGCTTCGCCGGTAGAACTCAGTTTGCGACCATCATTAACATTCGTAAATAACAAATGAGGAGGCAGTTATTTCCTAAATCAAATTGCAAAATTCAAAACAGTTGATTAGAATGCTAAATCAGTGTCTGAAATGACAATTTAAGTGTAATGTATCATGAACATAATTTATCTATCTTTAAACTTACATTTGACTTTTGGTTCAACACCTAGGTTGTATTTTTTTAATCAGATTTCAAGGACACTTGTTACAAAATGCACTTTTTATTCGTCGATAGAAAACATCTTATCTTATGTTTTCATCATGAAATAAAATGATAATTATTTAGCACAAGATAAAACAAATGTTATCTTTTCTATCATATGAAGTTACGCAAAAAGTTGTTTTGCAATGATACACAAAATTGGAAATATCATTAGATATCAAGTTTAATTACATATTTTTCTTTGATTCATATCTGAATTCATTCATAACACTTTTTTCTTCATAAGTACTGATCTTATTCTCTCTTTAAAACAAACTCCTCTAACATCAAGGAAAAGCAAGAAATTTTTACGCCTGGATTTATTCAGTTATGTTTGACGTTATGCTAATTTCTGAGATTTTGTACTTTATTATATAAAATCATCTTCATTTAAGGAAATGTTTTATACATATTTGCGCTTATATCCCTCCAATTTTCCTGATACTTAAATCTGAAACAGTTTCTTAAGAGAATGCAGAACCTGCAGGGTCTCCGTAATACGCCGGAAATTTTTTTCTGTCTAGACGAAGGTATTCTGATAGCGAATTTTGATTGGTTAAAATCATAATTGACTTCTTGTGGAAGTCGATGAAACTGTTTCCACATGAAATATTCATCAAAACTATCTATTACGTGTGATGGGCAGAGATTAGTATAGCCTAATCAATTCATGTTTTCTAAATGATAAATAATAGAATGCAGTATAACCCTGGCCTGGCAGATCTAACACAGAAGAGGAACATTTCAGTGACATTTTTTTTTTCGCGGGTTTCAGCAGCAGTAAATGATGAAACGTATTAACCAGTGATCCATAAAAATTATACACATGATATACACGAACATACGACTCATGTTCATTATTATCTAGGGGATTTACAAGTATAATGACATCAAGATACTACCGACTAGAAAAAAAATGTGGCTAATAGATACCGACTAGTTTACCTTTTCTTCAAATTATAGCTACGGAATTGAAGCTCTCCGAAAAAATACTGACAAAATCTCTTCGTCTATCCCAATTTTTTCAGACCAGCTAGCTAAAGATCTGCAGCTATTCCAAGTCCATTATTCTAAAAATTTTGAATTTTAAAAGTTTTTTTCTTTTTAAATTGTGTGCTAGCAACCTAACAATTACCTGATTTCAGAACCATGAAGCATGGCAGATAAATCTACTTTAGTTTATTTTTTTCGTCCTGAGCACTTCCGGTCGCCTCCAAAAGTGAATTTTAAAAATTGCGCTTTCTGTTTTTCAAACTCAAGAAATCACGTTTTGATATTTTTGATGCATTTTTACAAGTATTCTTGTGCACCAAACGAATTTTACAAGGCATACTGTGGCTAAAATCGGCTCGTCCAAATCAATATGGCAGCCAACACGTGTATAGAGAACAATGTAAACAATGTGCATTGAACGTCCCACGGTCTGTTTACTTCATGTTGAACGCTGTCAAGGTAATACAATTTTATATTCTTTTTTTGAACTGTGTCCTGAAACAATTGAAGGATCGTACAAATGCTATTCCGTGTGCGAAAACGAAAATAGAGTGCATCTCAAAATTAACAAGAACAGATTTCAAGATTGACTTACTTTAAAGACGAAAACAGTGATAGTCAAATAAAAACTTGATTCATAATCATCATTTAACCTTTTTTGATAAGTTCTTTACTGGAAATGACAACCAGGCATAGCATATACTGTATATTAAAAAGGAAACCAAAGGAAGACAACTCTTGCATTTTAAATCTCTCGTCTATACGAGGGTTGTTCGGAAAGTTCGTGGACTACTGTTATAACTTTTTTACTTAAGAAGGGATTCTTGTCTGGTTTTTGACTAGACGAAATATTCCAAGTATATTTGCTTGTATGTCTTATAAACTTAGCTGTAATGTATTTAAAAGATCATATTTTTCTTTACTCATCATAATTGTACAATTTTAAATAGAAATGGTAAACTGAGCTTGAAATCCATCAGGGACTATAGCGGCGTATGAAAATATCTCCTTTTCTGCCTATCAAAATCACTTACAGGACATTAAAATTAGTTAAATTTTTTAAACAATCAAAGACTTAAAGAAATTTTGATATGTTACTAAAATTAATAATAATGCCCTTAAGTTTTAAAACATAGCAAATAAAATGATTTTCTAAACAAACTAAAATCTTGTTAGCTTTTGAAAGCCCCCAACCTAAAACAGATTTGAGCAAAAAGTCAGTAAAAAGTGTAAAAAGTGTTGTTTTTTTTTTCTCTCTTACTAAACTGTCAAAGCTTTTTGTTTTGTATCATTTTGTATATTCATATGACTTCTTTACCATATGTGATAATAAGAAATATTTAAATATAAGAAGTATATAAAAATAACTAATATACCCTAAAAAATTAAGAAAGACAGAGAAAGTCCGGATTGTGCAAAAAGAAAAACATTTTATCTTTTAAAATAGAAGTAGGCATCACACGATTAGCAACAGTAATTTTTAACTCTAAATGTCAAGGAAAAAGATAATGACCTTGACGTGACCTTGTTTCTAAAATAAAACGGTCAAATTTAATCTAATTGATACCATCACTTAGTGATATTGTCTTCTTGAATCTACGAAAATTTCATTAATTTTTAAATACAAGAAATATAAGATGAATATGAGAAGAATCCCTCCTTAACTTCATATTATATCCAAATTTGGAAGAAATATATTTCAACAGTAAATTTAAATGATGTGTATTAAATTTTTTTAAAATATCGTGGTTTATTTCAAACTTATTTAAACTTAAAAAATGCGAAAATCGGATCACGGAGCAGGTCAAAATTTTGTACTTTACAATCAAGACACTAAATCATGTCTGAAGTCATATCTTTGTAAAACGAACCAAAAAAAAAAAAAGGAAAATTCTACAGATTCAAATTAGGAATTTATTCATCGTTTCTGATTTTAAATCATGACTTACTATTTTGCTTTGTTGAAAAGAAATCAGTTTCGGAAGATAGGCAGTCCTCCTTGAAAAAGGCAAAAAAAGATGACGTCGTAGAACGTCACGGAGCAGCAGCTAACCATACAATTTTGTTTAGTACTCTGGAAAACTCCAGAAAAACTGAAAATGCCAGAGGTAGTAGGAAATATGTCAAAAGCGAGCCATGTATGTGTTTGTAAATGGTACAAGCGGTATTTGAATGTCAGACAACTCTGCTTAGACGATGGTGATCTGTGAGAAAAGGGATTATCTGTAAAATCTTATAAAAACATTGAAAAACTAGTAACGCCATGCTAAGAGTTTGGCACTCAACAGATGCTGATCTTGTGAAAGCACACTTACGCAGTGAAACAAAATAATGCTACTGGAACAATAGTTAGAATAATCTAACTGTGTCTCGGGACAGGCCCTCACCACAGTTAGAATGCCTCCCATATACCCGTAATGTAGCAGAAAATTGCAGAATCGCTCCGAAACGATTTTGGAGAAAATTAATGAAGTTGCATTGAAAATAACAGTCAAATTAATCATAACAAACCTTTTTGAGACTGTAAATACCTTTACTCTACAAATTTAATCCATAAAATGGGAGAATTCAACACTTTTTCACCAACGATTTTTACTCGTTTCAAATTTACACACCATGTTGACATTCGGAACTCTCGGGATTTTTCATAGGAAATGCACGGAGTTAGAGTTATCTCCCGTATTTTCTTTGCTACATAGACACGGAACGCATTCTATCGTTTAACCGGGTCCGTAGGACATTTATCATTTTAACGATAGAACATTCTATCTACTGGAACAATTGATAGCAAAATAGATTTTAAGTGATAGAGAAACGTTTTTAATGAGTGCACTGGTATAGGGCAACACTGTGTGAAACGTATAGGGATAGTACTTCTGAGAACCTCATGTCGGTATGTTTTTGACGTTACAGTTTTGCTTGGTTTGCTCTGTGGTTACAAAACGTGTTGATTTTAAAATTAAATAAAATGAATCCTATTCAATCACATGGAATGAAAGTTCACACTTAAACAAAATAAATATTTTTACATATGATAATGTGTTCATTTTGAATTTCTTGAAGATAGTATAACGAAGATTGGCATAGTCCACGAGCTTTCCGAGTTTTCACAAGATCAGCATCTGCTGACCGCCAAACTCTTAGCATGACGTTACTAATTTTTCAATGTTTTAATACGATTTTACAGATAATCCCTTTTCCCCAAGATCACCATCATCTAAGCAGAGTAGTCTATCATTCAAATACCGCTTGTACATGTACCATGTACAAACACATGCATGGCTCGCTTTTGACATATTTCCTACTTCCTCTGGCATTTTCAGAGTTTTTTTTCTAGAGTTTTCCAGAGGACTACACAAAATTGAATAGTAAGCTGCTGCTCCGTGACGTTCTACGACGTCATCTTTTTTGCCTTATTTAGTGTCTTGATTGTAAAGTACAAAATTTTGACCTGCTCCGTGATCCGATTTTCGCATTTTAGTTTTAATAAATTTGAAATAGACCACGATATTTCAAATTTTTTTAAATACACATCATTTGAATTTACTGTTGAAATATTTCCTCCAAATTTGGATATAATATGATGTTAAGTAAAAAATGTTATAACGGTAGTCCACAAATTTTCCGAATAACCCTCGTATCTCCCCTTGAAAGAGGGCCCGGCATTTCCTGTGAAAAAAAAAAACAACTTAAATTCCCTTTGTCCTAGGATGCTTTGTGGCAAGTTTGGTTGAAATTGGCCCAGTGGGTCTTGAGAAGAAGTCGAAAATGTGCAAAGTTTACAGAATACAGACGACAGACGGACGCCTGAACTCTTTGATCAGAAAAACTCACTTGAAACTTCGGCTCAGGTGAGCTAAAATGCCGAAAATAAGAAAAATATATACATAACATGATAGGGGATCAGACCAAAAGGTATTCGCACAATACAGATCAATTTGCTAGTGCCCTACATTTACAGATAAACAGTATATGCCAAAAATATATATATAAAAAAACATTAAGTATACAGCAAAAAGATGGCACATCAAAAATAAGAATGCCAACAAATGTGAACTGCCGAACCTTATTTGTTGTTTGCGAGGGAAAAATTGAAAATTAATTGTAAATGTACAATTGTTACACTTTTACAACAATTTAAAATAGTATTTGTTTTTAATTAGATTGAGCCAAAACAATATACATTTTGATATTCTGTATTCAATGTAGTTCCTTTTGTGTATTCTACCGCACGTGACAAAGTTCCTAATGAATGAAGGGGGAATGAACGTTGTAGATTTCCGATGGATTTCATAAATAAAAGTATACTGCATGTAAATATAAATGTATCAATGGATTTTTTTACCTCATGTACCAATACAGGTGTTTGAATTTATTGCTGATAACACTTTGAAATTTTATGTAGTACCTTCAAGAATACCTTCCCCGGGTCTTCTCTTATAAGTTTGTTGTCTGACGTTATACTCTACGTTTAACAAGTTTTGTCGACAACAATCAGATTAAAGGATCATCCGTTGAATGCATCTTTTCTGTAGTACTTAAGTTTTCAATTGTCATGATGTTTCTAAAAGTAGGGTTCACTCCACTATTTTGCTTCTTGGGTTTTACAGGTTTATCTGCCCTTGAGAGTACAAGGTTTGTATTCAAGGCAAATTCGTGGGGTTTTTTAACTTCAAGTCCTTTCTCTTAATTGTTCAATCTTTTTAGTAAATCAGTGTGAGAAATGGTTTGACTCCCTCTTTTTATTTAAACTGACGACTGAGGACATCAACAATAGGAAACTGCAAAGAGAAACATATTTTATAATCTGAAAGACATTTTTTGTGACATATGAATTAACGGCAGATTAAATATGCTTTCATTTTTTTTAATTGAATAATTACCTTTTGGTCACGTCCGGATAGGCAAAGTGGAATTAGAACGCTATAAATAACGAGTAATTGAAAAAATATGAACAGTTCGATCACGTGATAATACAAACTTGAGGTTGCATCGATTTTACTTTTTGCATTTAAAATGATACTACAAAGTAATATAGAAGGTCGAAAATGGAGTCATTCGTTTGTTTGTTTGTTTGTTTATTGTTTTTAACGTCCCTCTCGAAAATTTGTCACTCATATGGAGACGCCACCACTTGCCGGTGGAGAGCTACAAAATTTGACCTATACTCGACACTCAAGGCCATTGAGCAGTGAAGGATCTTTTTCGTGCCAGCACCTACTGCGACACGGGACCTCGGTTTATACGGTCTCATCCGAAGGACCGAGCCATTCGTAGATTATATTTTGTTACTAGTAAGAATTTTATCACATTCCGACAACAATTAATTTGAGCTAAAATGATGAAAACAAATACTCTACACAAACAGTGAAAGATTAACTTAGAAACATTTACATATATTCAATTTTTTACAAACAAATGTACTTGTATTTATAATATAGCAAGGGAGCCCACTATTGGCTGTCTTAAGTACATAACTTACATATTAAAATAAAAACCGACGTGGCAATACCATATCATGTTTCAAATGCATTTTAAAGCTTCGGAAAGCCTTAACGTAGCTGATTAATTTCTTGCATTAAAGCAACAAAATATTTATCCTGAGGAACAAACGGTTCATGTCTGTACCATTTATGTTTGCACTAGTACTCACTTGAATTAAACTACATGGTTGATGTACATTGTAGACTTGTTTGAACGCCCTTAAGACCACGAGATCCGCCACCATTTCCTCCTCTTTGTCCTTAGGAGACCGGAAAAGTGAACCGTTGTTCCTTGTCCGCATAGCAAAAATATCCGTATTTAGACGAGCGATAGAAGAGAGTTTTCCTCTCTCTTTCTAAATGGCGCTCAATATTGTTAAACAATACATTCGGAAAGTTTTATTCTCTATAGCTAATACAAGTAAGATTATTTATATTACAGCAACCATTCTTACGGTTTTTGTGATACAAATTATATTTTTATATCAATTGTATTACAAACAGAGAATTGTGAAACAGGAAGTTGGATATTTTATTAAAATGCAGTTTGTTAACAATCCCAAGTATGTGGCCAGGTTGACATCTACAGACCAGCAAAATTGCATGAATCAGCCAAAGTCCATGAACGTGCAAAAACCAAGGGACAAACAAAAACCTATAAATCAATCAAAACCTGTGAATATGAACGAGTTACTGCTTATAAACAAGCCAACGTTTATGAACCAGTCAAAGTCTATGAAAAAGATAGATTTACTCTCAAGTAAAAAACATGGATTTATCAGACCAGATGAGTGCGATGCCTGTTTTGTTCACAACTATTCTTATATCCTGGATAATGAGGACATATGCAGCACCGATGGAAACAAAAATGTATCTCATATCTTGATTCTCATCACTTCGACACCTGAGAATTCGGAAAGACGAGCGGCCATACGTGACACGTGGTTATCACCGTCGCGGGAAAACACAGCAGATGTCAGATATGCGTTTCTTGTGGGAATGACTTCCGATATGATTCTGCAGAAAAAATTGGAAATGGAGTACCTCAGTAATAGAGACTTAATTCAGGAGGACTTCGTTGACAGTTATTATAATTTGACACTGAAAACCTTAATGGCGTTTAAATGGGCTAGTACCAAATGTAAAGAAGCTAAATATTTCTTTAAAACTGATGATGACATGTTTGTAAATTTGGATGCGTTGAAAGAAATCATCAAAAAGAATGAAAGAATACTACAAAAATCTATAGCCGGAAGATGTGATTTGAATCGTAAGCCAATAAGAAATATTGCCTCTAAATGGTACATATCTTATGAAAATTATCCTCACAAACAATATCCAATTCACTGTTCCGGAACCGGATATGTAACCAGTATGAATATTGTGAATAAGGTATACAAAATTTCACGGAACATTCCATTTATTTTTCTGGAAGATATATTCGTTTCTTTGTGTATAAGGAAACTCGGTCTCAATATGACCAACTTAGAAGGTTTTAATACGGGTCTTGTGAAGCCCGGATGTATATACAAAACAAAGGAAGTTGTGACATCACACAGAGTCTCCCCTGAACTTTTACGAAAAATTTGGAATGAATGTTTCCACGAAGCCAAAATCAAAGCTTGACATTGTTAATTTTAATATGCTTTGTAATATATATTTATTGCATAATCGAGAGGGAGATTTGAAGAGTTATGCAACTCCCTCGGGGAATCTGATTTTTCTTTCAACTTAATCATACTTTCATGAAAATTCATGTAATAAATTATTCATTATTCGAAATCAAGCCAAACTTTTAAGAATAAACACAATTTTTCAACTTTCAAGCACCTTCAACTGAGAAAGAAATTACTGCTAGTTCTGTGTTATATTCCTAGAGTTCTATTTGTCCTGTAAATAATACATTATTTCTTCCCAGGATACTTGACTTTTATTCTTTTAGTTACGTGAACGGTTAGACCAATCTTATGGCATTTTTATAGAAACATTACTATGTGGAATGCTAAAAAATCTGTAGCTCCCTTTATCTCCGTTGAACATTCCAAATTGTTGTATATTTTCAGTGTTTTGATGACTATAAAACTATTCAGTAGAAAATACTAGCATTCCCAATTATGGGCACAATTTTATCAAATCTGAATCCACAATACATATGAAAGCTTGTATATAATTTAGAAAAATTGTAGTCCCTTAATTTTGGAGAAAAATTTTTCATAATTATTCAACAGATTTTTAAGCTAAACTCTGGAACTTGTTGGGAGCCTCATCTTTGCCCCAAGAGACCAAGTTTTGAATTGAAGAAAAAAAAAATGAATATCAAAGCAGTTCCAAAGACTGATATTTAAAATTTTCTCATATACATTTCTGTATTAAAATTAGTAATTCTAAGAAAGAAAAGGTTAAGATAACGAACAAAGACAGATATAAAGAAATATACAAACAATACAAAAAACTAGAGGTGGGATCAGGGGCCTAGAAGGAGCAAACATCCCCTGTCGACCGGCCACATCCGCCATGAGCCCTGTGTATTGACGAGGTGACAGAAAGTGATTTTTACAAAGATATTTGAAGTTTCTCTAGACATTTGCAGTCTTAATAAATTGTATAAAAATCATTTCAAAAAAAAATTATCTATTGGCGATATTGATAGGAAAGTTAAAAATCCCAATCATGTTGTTTTTCTCTTATTATCGGAAGTTGTCGTTTTTTTTTGTTTCCGGTGAAATTGAGTCTAAAACAAAGGCGTTTTGTATGAAATATGTCAATGGCCTAGCATTTGTATGAAATATGTCAGTCAAATTACGACCGAGTGATAGGTTATTTTTGCTAACAAGGTCATTCTGACCTCTAAAGGAGATTTTAAACTATTTTCCTATATATTTCCATGAGAAACATTGGATCATCACGGGAAATAATTTAAACAATCTAGACTTTTGCCTGAAGAAAAAAAGTAGTTCTCAACCATTATTTTAGATGACAGATTTGTATTATTTTTAAGTTCTTTCAGATCACTATTCGTCTTCACATACTAGAATTTCATTTCCGTTCTGGCATCGTGGGTTTTCACTAAGGGAATCTGTTATTTTTTTTTTCATTTTTTTCTTTATTAGTATTGAAAAAGGCGTTGTCTTTCTCGTGAGCACATTTCATTTCTCACACTAAAGAAGGTTTTGTTTAAACTTTGGTAGAAATTAGCCTAGTAGTTATGCTGCAGTAGTATAAAAGGTGAAAGACATGAGATCTTTGAGAACAACGGATGACGGCGGTCACCATTAGCACTAACTTCTCTTATAATGTCATGTCCATTTCAGCGGAAGTTAAAAAGTCATGGATGCATTTGAATATTGTTAGGTAAATATTATTGGATTACAAAATATAACAGTTCTTTTACGTTTTGTTTACCTCATACTGAAAAATTCAACTTTATATCATAGAGTATTCCACTCCTGCGTCATACTGGAATGTTTTACTGAACATTAACGTTAATAGCAAATTAACAACTTCAATATATGACAAGCAGAAGCTTAAATTCTTTGCTATTGTCAGCTTTTCAAACATTGTATTTATTAGACAAGGTTTTCCATTGTAACTTCCAATTGGTGTCTGTGTCTCCCAAATGATGCAGTACTTTATTAATTGTAGATTCAATATTTACTGAAAAATAAGTTGATGTTACAGGCTATTCAACAGGCTTGTATATAATAGCCATCATTTCACTCATTCCATGATAGATAGATTGACCTTGGTTACAAATATAACCTATCGTTGGGTCGATTTCTTTCTGACGGGGAATATTCTCGTCCACTTGGTCTCACCAGGGGTTTGTGTTTTATACCCTTTTCCGATATGCATTTTTAAAAAAACCCGTTGTAAGCTCTTTTGGAAACAAAAATTTCAATGAACCTTCTTAAATGAAATATATGGAGATAACGAACAGTATTCAAACTCAAAAGTCCATTAAACATTACAAAATAGGTGCAGAGCAAACACGGTCCTCCAAAACATCAGAGGTGGGATCAGGTGCCATGGAGGAGTGAGCATCCCCTGCCAACCGGTCACACCTGCCGTGTGCTCCTTGTCATGATTGGGAAATAACGGAAAAATCCGTCGACAATTCAGTGTGTAAATAATGGTCTAACAATTAGTAAAGTCAGTCAGCATTTGACTTAATGATAAATTGTATTTGCTGACAAGGTCATTGTATCGACCATAGAACTTACGAAATGATGACTTTAAACGAGACAGCTGATATTCTTGTTTCATCAACTTGTTTGTCAATAATTTACCTCGTTTTAGAAATTGTACATACGTAGAGCATGATCTTGCGTGTCGAATCAACTGAGAGATATAAACCCCGTATGCAGATGATGAAGGTATATTGCTGCATAGGTAAGGAAAGTTGACGATTGAGAAGTTAAAATCATCACGTTTATCATAAAGCTTGGTTTTGTTTGTTTGTTTGTATGTTGTTTAACGTCTCTCTTGAGAATTTTTCACTCATATGGAAACGCCACCACTTGCCGGTGGAGAGCTGCAAATTTTGTCCTATACTCGGCACTTAAGGCCATTGAGCAGTGAGGGATCTTTTTTGTGCCAGCACCTACTGCGACATCGGTTTATACGGTCTCATCTGAAGGACCGGTCTCCACGTCCAACAGTGGGATTCGAACCCGCGACGTAAGGATCAACTCCTTACGCCGCGACTCTAGAGCAAACGCTCTAACCACTGCGCAACGCGGGCGACCATAATGCAGATTTTTTTCAAGTAAAATATCCAAATATGAAACAGATTTGTCAGTCTCTGTAGTATCTTTTATCTCAAGCTCACCGGGATATATCGTATCGACATAAGAGTGGAAATAACCATTGTTAATTGACAATACTTCGTCGATATATCTAAATGTCGAGTTAGGCCACAGCAAGTGTTTTCTTCTCATCACGTATAAGATTTTGGACAAATTCTGCTTCATATGAATACAATAAAAGGTTTGCTAATAACGGGGCGCAATTGGTACCCATGGGAATTCCAATAGATTGTTTGAAGACATGGTCTCCAAAAACCAAATAGATGTTGTCAATCAGAAACTCAAGCATCTTTTTAATGTCAACTTCAGAGTACTTGTGTGTACAATCAGAATGTTTTTTAACAAAATAATTTTGCAATTGACCAATGACAAGGTAAGTAATTTAAATTTACGAGTTCCATTTGTATTGAAAAAGCTGCTGTCAATGATATCAAAAAGCCTGGCTTTTAATTTATCTTGGGGAATGGTTGTGTATAAACGAGAAAAGTCGTAAGTTTTTAAGCTGTTGATTTTGGTAAAATCTTGTGATTTCAAATTTTCCAAAAGTTCCTTGGAATTTTTAAGTATCCACATCTGATTTACACCACTTCTCGAATATATTGTTGCACAGTACTCTTGGAGTTTCCCCTTCACTACTGTTAATATCTTAGTGAGAAGTAAAGAAAGAGGCTTGGTTGAACATTTACTGGAACCCGCTATGTATCTTTGTTTGTAAGGATTTTTATGAAGTTTCGGAATCCAATATAGATATGGTAATTAAAATTCATTTTGGTTTGTTTGGAATATTAAACAAATTCAAAACTGACATATGATTTTGAAGAATTTCTTCCTTAGAAAGAGAACTATGAGTATAAGTTGTATAAAACATTTCTTATGTTCGAGTGACTAAACCTTCATGCTACAGGAAACCTTATGCAGAAAATCTCGCATATGAGAGACCATAGAAACGTTATTAACCATTATTATACTTTCATGTTAAATACTAAAATCTGATTGGTTTAGACGCATTTAACAATCCGTAATATTACCCTCAGCGTTAGCAACACAGTTGGCAACGGGTAACATTACGAAAATGTCACATGCGTTCAAATCATGCGCGTACGGTTCACCGTAGAATTCCCAAAACGTCAGTTGTGCGTTTGAAAGAAGCCAAATAAACGACGTCAATAAAAGCTTGCGTCCGATGTAGCTTACTTGAAAACAACAAACGACAGACGAAACATCCTTGCGAGGACTTTTTGAGTAGCAAACAAACAATAAAGAGGTTGGTATATCTTTTCCGAAGCTTTCTTACTGAGAAAAATAGAAGCGGTGAGTTTGAAAGCTTTCTAACCGTTTGAAAGCTTTCTAAGCGTGAACTTAACGACGATCTCCGAATTTTTTTTATGACATCCGAAATCAATAAGACATTCAGTATAATAAAATAAATAGTGCACGTTTTTTGAGGGTAACAGTTGAAATTGACACCCCGCGGAAAACCATTGTCAACCTCCGCTGACGCGTCGGTTGACAATGGTTTTCCTTGGGGTGTCAATTTCAACTGTTACCGTCAAAAACGTGCACTATTTATATATTGTGAAGAACAGATGCTGGAGTTCTTATTCACACTACAAGATGAACAATTCAAATGAATTAAATGCAAGGTCCTTATATATACAACCAGAGGTATATCCGCCTTCTGTTTATAGTGAATCTTCAGATGATGTACGTCAATCGAGTCCGTGTTCTTCTGATAAATACACATACACGGGAACCCTTAATTGATATAATATATACATAGATACATTGTGTATAATATAAGTCATTGTAAGAATATGTTTG